ATATTTATTTTATTTGTGTTACTTATTTATTTGATTTGGGTCTTGTTTTAAAATTTCAATTTTATTTTGTTATTTACATTTACATTATATTTAAATTTTGTAATTTAGCAGACGCTTTTATCCAAAGCGATTTACAAATGAGGACAATAGAAGCAATCAAAACCAACAAAAGAGCAGTAATATGCAAGTGCTATATTAGTATATTATTATAGTATTATATTTCAATTTCACAAAGAAATGTGCAGCATTTTGTCCAAGCAATAATAAAAGGACACATTTAATTTATAATGTCTTAAATCTAATTTTGTTAAAAAAAATTATAATAATCGTGAACCGAATCGAATCGTGAAATCAAAATCGTGAATCAAATCGAATTGTGAGTTGAGTGAATCGTTACATCCCTAGTTACACCAAATACACCAAATAATGATCTTTAAAAAAGCATCATATGACCCCTTTAATAAAATGTTAGTTAGTTTCATTAATGTCCACAAAGTGGAAATTTGTCTTGCTCTTATTGAGGAGGATGCCGTCATAGTAAATCAAGCTCTTTTATCGCAGAAGACCATTAAAAACTGGGTTTGGAATACATAGAGAAACATATTTGTGATAGAGATATGAGTAACATGAGGATGAGGTAAGATCCTGACACTCGTGGAACGCCAGAAATCCTCAAATCAAATTCTGCTCAACTAGAAATATGATAAGGCTGCATCCAACCCATTTTATCATGGAACTCATATATATATATATATATATATAAATTAAATCTATTTTTGAAATTGAAAATATATTTAGTTTCAACCATCATATACCAAAATATATTTCAAAATGTATTTCAGGAGCAAAAAAATACAGTTCCAATCTTACAATAGCTAAATGCTAAATGCAAATGTGTGATGGAATAGCCTACTGGATTATGTGTTATATGTTCGCACATGTTACAGACAACAAAATAAAGATTTTCTTCAAATGTGACATATGTGAATGGACTAAAATATATAGATGGCAAAATATATATTTTAAATGCTTTTAGAAATATACATTTATATTTATAGACTTAAACACAAAAAATACACAGAAATGGCCACAAAATATATTGGTAGAACATATATACAGTACGTAAATGTATTTTGAAATATCCTTTAACAAATATGGAAATACTTTTAAATATATTTTGGTAATTATTTAGAGGACAAACTATATTTTTAAATGATTTTTAAAATATATTTATATTTTTAAACTATTAAACAAAAATATATTGGTACAAAGTATATTTTAGCATCATTATAAAATCTTGGAAAAGCATGAAGGCAAAACCTCACAAAAATCAAACTTCACAAAGCAGTTCAAATTAAATCAGACGCCACAAATTTACAGACTGTGGTCTTGAAACCAAGATTGGTTAGACCTTAACAGCAGATCCTTTATCATCATATTTAAACATTTGTTATTTTATAATTATAAACACTGTTTGCTTTACAGTATTTGGACAATGATTCTGCCACAAGCTGATTAACACTGAAGTGAACAGAAACATTATGGTTATCTAAAGCATATAAAAATGTTAATATTTGAAAACAGTTACAATTCAGACCAATGCAGATTTTACTGGGAAGGAAACGCAGAGACTGAAAACCTCTGGGAACATAAATTGAACTAGACCAACACACAGACTGCTATAGATAATGTTTACAGCCCTGTTGAGGACGCAGCATCCAGAGGCATTTCTATAGAGAAAAGTTTGGCAGAAATCATCTTGTTGCTAAAACCTAGCCGTTAAGGACCTCTGTGTTGATGCACGCTCCTTTACTTCACATGTCTGCCACAAAAGGGTGTAACTGCAATAAAAATGGCAGATTTACTAGTCTACACATCTGGTGTATAGCTTATAAAAGTGCCAGTTTTCTAGTCTAACACTGAAAGCCATTCATTTGTACCTCTGTACCTTTTTAACCGTAAATTGTCACTATATAAGCTTACATTTTTGTTATTTAATAAATCTGGATAAGGCTTTTGTCTCATTAAACTTGTTTATTTAACCTATTCTGCAGTACACTGAATGTAGAGGAGCACTGAAATAGCAGCCGTCGAAACAAACTCTGCTTTTACAGGCCACGTTTATCACGACTTCAGAGGAAATATTACATGACAAGCTTTTCAGACAACTAGTTTAAAAACAGTGTGGTTCTTCAGATCTAACCAACCTCACCTGTGTTATCGGCCCATAAAAGGTTTACAAATTAAAAACGTAAAGAAATATGTATTATTAAAGAAATAATAATTTATATATGTATATTTGTATTTTTTATTAATGCAATTTACTTATACTTTAATGCAATTTAAATGACTGCAAAGCAATACAATGCAAAAAAAAAAAACACACAATAAGGTCCCATTAGTTAACATTAGTTAATCCATTAGAGCCTTACATATTTATTACTCTTGTTGATTTTTGTAAATAAAAATGGACGTACAACTTTTGATTTGAATAATGTATTAAGAAATGTTGAAATAAACACGAACTGAGATTAATACATGCTTTAGAAGTATTTTTATTTTTCATTGTTAGTTTGTGTTAACTAATGCAGTTAACGGTTAACAAATGAAAACTTTTAGTAAAGGGTTACTAACCATCAGCAGTATTTGTGGTACTGCATTTAATTTATTAATGCAACTATACCACATATCTAGAGAAAATACTGAACTCAAAAATGAGGTACCGTGTCCTAACAAGGGGCGAAATATATGCATTATAACAAAAAAAGCCAAATTTAAATGCTTGTTTTTCTTTTTGAAAGAAATATGACCTGGACATATTTTTGTGAGATTCAAACGGACAGCAATGACTTTCCTAAAGTAAACTTTGCAGGGTAAAGATAGTTTCCTCATAATCGTTAGTGAAGGCCCAGCAGAAACACAGAAAGACCAGGGAATTATTTATGAGGAGTTTTTGTGTCTGCTCATAAATCCTGACCATCATCAGGCTTCACTGACCTGTTTTACAATGCTATCCCAGCATGCCCTTTGGTTCTGGGTGACTGCCCACAGAGCCAGAACATTCAGAACCATCTAAAGCGCCCTGCTACTGCCTCGAACTGCTAGCAATGAACTAAATAAATCTAAACGAACCCCAAGCCTACTTTTATTAATTAAGGCTTGCTGTGGGGAAATGACCCCTGATTTATGGAGGCTGATATCGACCTGAGCACTGCAAGGGAGACATAGAAGTTGAAGGGAGGACCTGATGGAAACCATATGGCTTCAGTTGACAGACTAAAAAAAACACTCCCAGCATTACAAAACCTCACCACCTCACCAACACATAATACAGAGCAAACAACTAAAGATACATTCAAAAATTTAAATTTAAGATAAAAAAAATAGGTTACAGTACACAAAATGCACCAAACATAGCAAGATATTTGAAATATATTTAGTTTACACACACACACACGCGCACACGCACACACACACAGTTTTTCTTGTGAATATATTTTAAAATGTAATTTATTTCTATGATCAAAGCTGAATTTTCAGCATCATTACTCCAGTCTTCAGTGTCACATGATCCTTCAGAAATCATTCTGCTGATTTGCAGCTCAAGAAACATTTCTGAATATTAGTGATGAATGTTGAAAATAGCTGAGCTGGTTCATATTCATAATTTTAATATTATAAATATCAATTATTATAAATTATCTGCCAAAAAATCGGATATGGTCAAAAGATCGGATCTGTGCATTAAGACTTGCAGTGTAAACGCAGCCTTAGAGTGTTTTCAGCTTGTTTATTTTCATATAAAAATACGGCATGCAGTTGCATCAAACAATGGTATACACCTCATTCAATGTAAATTGTGATAATCATAATTAATAATCGCAATTACAATTTCAAGGGAATAATCGACAATTATGATTTTGGTCATAATCGTGCAGCCCTAATACAGCCTCTGAAAAATTCTTTGGCTCTACCACATGCTTGGCTGCGTCTACTTCCACTGGAAATGACGTGACTTGTTCTATCACTATTCTTCTAGACTTTCAACATTCATACTTTCCAGTGGCCATGGCAAAAGCCACAATGACTTACATCTCAGCATGAGGCACACATCTGCTCTGGAAATCACTGAAACACACTTTATAGACGTTATGACATACAGCCGCCAAATGTGAATGTGATTTTACTGAAGATTTGTGCAATGCCCAACCGATTCCTATGTCAGGGCCAAAAACCATTTCAGGCCATCTGTCTCGTTTACCACAAAATATCTGACATATGCTATTTTTCATGACATGACTGAATAGAAAGAAAGCTTTAGCATCACGTTGAGAATGTATTTTAGGTTGGATGAATCGGAGGAAAAATACTATGGAAGTCAATGGCTATCAACAAAAAAGTATACCAAAATGTAAATATCATGCCTTTACTGTCTATGTAATACCTTTTATAATGTGACCCCCTTTAAAAATGAATTGTTAAAATAATAGTCTGAACTTTCTGTTCTCATATTTAATAAGTGAGTGACATTATAACACTTTGGTTCAGTCTTTATTAGAGACAGAAGAGACCGAATTGTATGAAAGCCTGTTTTCGCCACTGAATAAAAAATAAGAAAGGTAACTGCAAGTGTTCATCTCACAATTCAGACTTTTTTTCTGAAACAAGCTTCCATGCAAAACAGATCAGAAGGCAAAACATTAATATATTTGACATCAACTGGTCCTCAGATTCTGAAGGCGCTTTTTGTAATGTTTTTTTTTTAAGATTTAAAGACTCAATTCAGCATTGTGAAGTTGTTTATATTTCTACGAATTGTCAAGACAGTCAAAGAAACAGTCATCTGTTGGTCACAACATGCTCACATGTGAAGCTAAAAGAATTCTGCCATTCACTGCAGAGAAGCATCTGCTAAATGCCTTGAATTAAAATGGAATTGAAGCTGTGAGGGTTTGAAAGCATCCCATCATACATTAGATTTATGCCAGCAGCCTTTATACCTGTGACTCAGACTCCAGTGTTCCGGTGTATGGACTTGTCTTGTTTTCTTCTATTCCAGTTGGAGACCAAACCTTTCCAGATCTAAAAGACAAAAGTAGTGAGGTGAGTGAAGCCATATACAGTAGCTGCATACATGAGTGAAAACAGTCTGCCTGTTTATCTATAACTGATAACATTCCTGACTGACATCAATGATCAATGTGCTTGCTTGTCATGAAAATCTCAAACAGCATCATGGTAAAACTAAAGGGATACTGAGCATCTTTAGACCAAATGGACGAACAAAGACGGCGGTTTTCCTCCTCTTACACCTACATGCACACAGCCATACAGAGATCTGAGCAACAAAGAAACCTCTGTGGTCCCTCCCTCCCTCCCATAATGGAAACTTTATCACTGGAGCATGAATGCACCCCCTTCTGAGTTGGCTTGGATGTGGCAGGGTGAGGCAATGGCTTAGAAATGAATGTCAAAGGGACTTAGGGTCATCTGGATGTGACTGATTAAAGGATGTTTTGCATATGAAACCCACTCGAATAAAGACGCTTTCAAATAGTCGTAGTTGGAACACTTTTTGTTGTATTTAGGGCTGGGTGGTATGACAGTACAACCAGGAAAGATATATTGGGCAGGAAAGCTTCATATTATTTACTTGTGCTGTAAACAGAGCAGGAAAATTCAAGACAAAAGCTGCAGAGGCTGCATTTGTTAGGCTGTATACATCATCAAGGATGTCCTATTTAAGAAAAGTAACCATAATAAAATTGACTGTAATTCCTTGGGAGGTGTAAAATACTGTTATTTCTTTCTTACTTTGCAGTCTAATGGTTGCTTTTCTTAAATGAGTCCGCCTCGATGACAAATACGACCTTTGGAGGACTCAGCCTTCCTGAAAATTTCCCAGAAAATTTTTGGGTTGCCAAGTATTGTCACAACTTTCCAAATTAATATGGAATTGAACTGACATGCTGTCACAGGTGTGGGTATATCGTCTATTTTTTTATTTTTATTTTTAACTTTGAACATATGTTTTCCAAGTTTCAAACTTGGAACCATCTGTTTTGTAATGTTAATTTGACTGTTTTGAGTCTTTTTTTTAAATGATTTTTGTACTGATACAGATCATTTACTTGTGATGAATACCTTTTGGTTTGTGTCCATCAAATTCCAAAAAAAAACGAAAAAAACAGAAAATATAATCACGTTTTTTTCTACTTTTTTCAAATCAAAAATTTTTCATTGTAAAAGTATTTATTTTACTGGATTTTTAAAAAATGTAATATCATGACATATATGTGTCACACTACACCATAAAAATGCATTTCCAAGATTATTGGAGTACGTTTTACAATTTAATTGTAATTTAATTTAATGTCTTGCTTGCCAAATTTGTTGAAATTGAAAACTGCAAATTCTTCATAATTATTAGTAAAATTTACTAGCAATTTCTGGCCTG